GGTTTGGATAAATAATATTGATATATTAATAATTAATAATCTAGGTTCGGGTATTCCATAAATATTATTTAGCTAATTTAAGTATTTTAATATCACTTTTACTAATATAACCCTTTAATTCTTTGTAATTTTACATAGTGAGGCACTAAGTGAATAATATATCCCTGAATTTTGATTTGTTTCCTTCAATAAGCAATTGAATTATAAATATATTTTAAAAGTTGATAACTTTTGTATTTATTATAGGTTTTACATATATAATACATCAAATTAATCATCTTTTGATGATCTTCGATTTGACATCCATATTGTATATATATGAAATAAATAAATTATATTTATCTTTATAATAATAAAAAATAATAATATTTATTAAAATTCATTAGAAAAATAAAATTATTTTTCAATTGATATATTTATATGTAATGTAGTTATATATTGTAAGTTAAAAAAAAATAGTATAATATAACACAAGTAAGTTGCACAAATAAAAAGTGTCATAATAAATATATAATAATATATATTCTTATAAAAGGTATTTAAATTTTCAAACTACTTTTTTCTCATTAATTTTAGATTTTAAGAAAAAAATTAGCAAGCACCCGTGTAATACACGGGTGTTGGACTAGTGGTTTTGATAAGTTTTCTACATAAATTAACAAGAAAAATCATATATTATATATACACATCATATGTTTTAATACAAGTATTTTACATATATAGTAGCCGTTTTGGCTTTTGGTTTAGCCGATTTCTTACAAATTTGTACAGAAAACGAGTATATTAGTTTGTCTCGTGAAATTTAATATTAGCTGTGTTTTTTGAAAACAAAAGAAGAAAAAAGATGAACCCTGCTTCATATTCCAACGTGGAAAAATTAAGTACCTTAATAATATATCAAACCGAAAATGTTAAGGTCACGTTACGAAACTATTTCGATGGGTTTATAACCGTCAAATCATCATGTAATTGTCAGAGATAGTTGATCTAACGTTTATAAATGCATACAAAATAGTATTGTAAGAGGACCGTAACATCTTCTCAAACACCTGACCCATACAATTATAATTGAAATTAGATTTTGTGCACACTTCTCAAGACAATGTCCTTTTCCCCAATAGATACTTTAAAACAAAATAAAATATTATGTATTTTTTTTTTAAAAAAAAAGTGTGTAGATTGTTGATTAGTTTTCATGTATTATAAAATAAATAATAGTGTTAGTATGCTATCTAATAATTATACACTTATATTTCTTTTTGAACAACTTCATATTCAAATACCACACATAGTTAAACAACATAAATAACATTGTAATATTTTATAATCTCTCTCTATATATAATTTTAATAACAAATTATAAGTATTTAAGCATCACACAATCTAATAGCAGAAATTATATAACCTAAATGTCCTTGTATATCATTTTTTTTCTCGAAACGATAGGATATGTTACCAAAAAAAAAAAAAAAAGATGTACAAAGAGGGCAAACTTGCCCTAATACAACCACCCTTTTCAGGTAAGGGAACCTGCTCCAAAAGCACAAATGACAACATCCCCTGCTAACAACAAAAGACATCCGGAGATTTACCATTGTACTGAGCTCAAATCTAAAAATCAACAACAGCAAAAAAGACTGACCACTGCCTCCAAAGGCCTAGACAATCTTCAAAAGACTAATCAAAACAACAAGCAACAACTAAAAGAAACTAACTAGAAACAATATTAACAGAAGAGAATTCAATCCAGTCACTCAAAGCTAAGCTAACTGTGTCCTGCTCTGATCTCCAGATATTAGAAAAGACCCATAAATTCCTTGTCTTCCACATCCACCATAGAATGTACGAAGACAATTGCAGTCTGGCCTCAGCAGTGGGAGAGTTATTGATAGAACACACCTTAGGCCACCATTGCTTGAAGGAGTCAGTGTCTGCCTGAAGGCCATCCAAAGAAATGGGAGAGGTTTTCCAAATGGTTTTGGCTCTTTTGCAATGGAAGAACATGTGCTCTTGAGTTTCTGGCTCCTCTCCACACATTTTACAAATATGATCAATGGTGAGCCCTTTCCTGCTAAGGTTACTGTTGACTGGGATAATATTGAGCAGACCTTTCCAAAGGAAGTGCTTCACTTTTGGCTTGATTTTCAGACCCCAACTCCTCATTCTTGCCTTCTTGAGTGCACTCTGGTCCTTGCTTGACTCAAGAGAGTCCATTTGAAGAAAATTTTCCTGAATTAGTTTGGAGTAGGCAGAGGCTACTGAGAAGCACCCTTTAGTATTCCTAGTCCAAGTCAATCTATCCTTCTGGTGAGCGTCAAGACCACTGATGTTCAAGATGGCTTTAGCTTCCTGATCAGAGAAACAATCTTCCACAGTCTCATGTTCCACCTTCTGTCAGAATCATCTAACAGGTCTTTAACCCACTTGATAAGGGGGGTAGCAGAACTTCTGGACTGATAGTTGAGCTTGGGGAAGTTAGGCACCCAAGGGTGGTCCCACATCTTCACAATTTTACCATCCTTAATGCTATATTGCAGAACATTCTTAAATGAGTCTCTCTGCTTCATCCAACTTGCCCAAAGCCAAGAGCAATTCACCTTTTTATTGACTGTAAAGAAATCCTCCTTAGGGAAGTATTTAGCCTTCAAAGTTTTGCTAACAAGTAGGTTCGTTTGAGTCAACAATCTCCATAGCTGCTTAGAGATAAGTGCTCTATTAAAAGTGTGAAGGTCCTGGAAACCCAACACTCCCGGCTTTTTAGGAAGAGTAAGGGTGTGATTGTTTATCAATCCACTTCAAAAAAAACCAATCAAAACTCAACTTTAACTCAACCCTCTATCTCCAATAATACCAATATAATTAAATAATATCAACCAATCATTCAACCAATCATTCTTATACATCACATCAACTTTAATTCACTATTCATCTACTCACATAATTTTAACTAACTATCACCCCCAATCATTTTTCTCTTACTTTTACATCACATCAACTTTAGTTATTTTATCTAAAATACTATTTTAATATAACCACTAACAACTAACTATAGAAACTTTTTTCAAAAGTAACTATGGTTAAAAAATAACTAGCTAAAAACTAGATGAATTCATAAACAATCACCCCCTAAGCTTTTGCCATGCTTTCCAGTGTATGGGTTTATTCTTGCTCCCATCATTATGCCACCAAAAGGTTGCAAAAGTGAATGCCATTTTCTTTAAAACTCCCACTGGCAGCTGAAAGCAGGACATGGAATATGTTGGTAAGGCACCCAGAACAGCCTTCATTAAGACCTCCCTTCCTGCATTAGATAAAAATCGGTTTTGCCAAGAGGTAATTCTAGAGTTAACAGATTCCTCAATATAAGAAAAGGTGGCCAGTTTAGATTTCCCTATTCCCAGGGGAAGCCCAAGGTAGTTTGTAGAGGTTTGAGGTTTGATTCCCATAAGAGTATGGCAAATGACAGTCTGAATGGATGGAGGTGTGTTTTTGCTGAAACAAATCGAGGATTTCTCCAAGTTTACCCTTTGTCCGGTGATTGAGTGATAATTTTGGAGAATGGCTAGGAGGGTCAGAGCTTGGTTCTCATCTGCTTTGGCAAACAAGAGTGTATCATCAGCAAAGAACAAATGAGTAAAGGTAGGGCTGTCCCTACAAATTTTAACCCCCTCCAACCTCCCATTAGAAATCTCAACATGGATTAAAAAGGAAAGAATCTAAAAAATGAGAATGAAAATGTAGGGGGACAGTGGGTCCCCCTTAAGTGGCGAATTTGTGTCAAACAAAAATGTTTTTAGGTAAAATAAATGTTTGCGAATTTTTGTATTAGGTCGCGAATTTGTGTTAAAAAAAATAAAATATTCTCAAATATTGTATAAAATTGGACAACAAAATATATATTTATATCCCCCTATATATAATTTTCGAATGCGCTGAGCCTACGTGTCTGCTTCTAGTGCTTCAGAATCCTACTTGACAAATAATCATTTAGGTTTGAGAAGATTTTAATTTATTTTCAATCAAACAATAATTAGGTCCAGATTATGCATAAATATGTTGATTATTTATGATTATTTACATGTATTAATGTATTTTAATATTATTTCTTATTATAACCATTGAATTGTAAATATATATTAAAAATTAATAACTTTTGTAGTTGTTATCAGTTTTACATGTATAATGTATCAAATTAATCATCTCTTGATGAACTTCGATTTAACATCTATATTGTATGTATAAAAAATAAATTATATTTATCTTTATAACAATAATAAAATTATTTTTTAATATTAATTAGAAAAATAAAATTATTTATCAATTAATATATTTATATTTCAAGTAATACTATGATATATGTTATATAAATTACTATAATATAACACATGTAAGTTGCACAAGCAACAAGTGTTATTTTAAAAGATACAATAATATATTTTTTTGTTAAAAAAACAAATAAAATTTAAAATATTTTTTTTATTAATTTTAAAATTTCAAAATAATTTTTTAATTACAACACCCGTGTAATACACGAGAGTTGTACTAGTGAAACAAATATTCCTCAAAATGTTTTTAATTGGAGAATTATATAGCATTCAGAATAAATTATTAAATGGCCAATTTAATTAGACAAGCATAAATATGGAATAAATAAAATAAAACATGTACCATTTGCCAAAACAAAATCTCAAATTAGAAAATTGAAAAAGCAATGTGAATTGTGAAGCATATAAAATAATGTACTTACCTTCACCTGCACACAGCCATGTTTTAGCTGCCATAGCTCATCTCACCTCCGCCCAATCTCCGCCGCTCCTAACGGCCGATTTTTCCTCATTTTCAGTCAGCCATCACCACATTATTTTACAGGTAATCCCATCCTTTCAGCATTTTCTCGTTTTTCCGTTATTCCCTTTTTCTTTTCTGTTTTTTGTTTGAATGGAAATCGCATTTGTGATTGGTTTGTTTCGTTTCGGTCGAGGTATAGTAGCCGGAGAGCGATGTTCGGTAGCGCAGAGATGTCGGTTGAGAGCTTTTTGCCTAATGGGAAATCAGTGGAGCATTTGTCCCTGGCGGATGGGGAATCTTTCGATCCAGTGGCGGTGGTGGCGGAGCCGGTGCCAGCGGTGGTCGAATCGGACGGCGCGGTTGGGGAGAAGGTACGGGAGATAGTCATGGGCAGGAACGTGCACACCACGTGTCTGGAGGTGACAGAGCCTGAAGCGGACGATGAGTTCACCGGCGATAAGGACGCGTACATGGCCAGTGTGTTGGCGAGGTACCGCAAGACGCTCATGGAACGTACCAAGCACCATTTGGGTATAATGTGTGTGTGTGTGTGTGTGTCTGTGTGTTGATTTTTTGAGTGATCTGTGTTTTGTGTTGATGGGTTTGAGGATTTGTGTCTTTTTGATTGAATTTTAGGGTTTAATTTGACAGTAGGATACGTCGTGATGTGATTTGAGCTGCATAAAAGTTTGTTGCATGATTGCAAAAGGGTCTGGATTTTGTTTGGTGTTCCATCAATATTTCTCACTTGATTTACGAGAATGATGGGAATTTATGTGGAAAAATGCATACAAAACGGTCTTCGAGCGTGTTGTTCGTATCGCTCACTCAACTGATTACTTATTTTCTAATGTGGACTATTCATGGTGTTATGTGCAATGCTTGTCTTTCTTTATTATTAGTGATAATGAGCTATATCGAAGTTGAGGCATATTTTTTTTTTTTTTTTTGCACGTAGGACCGTGTTATTTTATGAATTATAAATCTGTGCTTCAGCTAATCAACTTCTAAATGTTATATATCTTTTGCTGAAGTATCTAGTTGAACTTGCTTTCATGTAACCTGGAGACTGTTGTCAGGATTTCATTGTGTCCGACTGTTATCTTTCCCATTTTCCACAGGATATCCATACAATTTGGACTTCGACTATGGTGCACTTTCCCAGTTGCAGCACTTCTCAATAAACAACCTTGGAGATCCTTTTATTGAAAGCAATTATGGCGTGCACTCGAGACAATTTGAAGTGGGTGTTCTGGATTGGTTTGCCCGTCTTTGGGAAATCGAAAAGACTGATTACTGGGGATACATAACAAACTGTGGAACTGAGGGAAACCTTCACGGCATCCTTGTCGGGTAGTTACAGTACTATTTACTTCATCTAAACAGTCCATTATTTATTGCCAAGTATCATTTTTGTAGGTAAATGAATTAAAAAATGTTTATTATTTTCCAATGGAACAGGAGAGAGGTGTTTCCTGATGGAATTTTATATGCTTCGAAGGAGTCCCATTACTCTTTGTTCAAAGCTGCAAGAATGTACCGAATGAGCTGCGTAAAAATTGCAACCTTGGTCACTGGAGAGATTGACTGCGCGGATTTTAAAAAGGCGCTTCTTTCTAACAAGGACAAACCAGCTATCATCAATGTCAACATTGGTAATTCTTTCTTTACTTGACTCTTCAGAGCGAGTTTGTAGTTTGTTGTTCTCACCAGACCTACAAGTATTGCTGCTGACACAACCATGAGCAATGTAACCTGCAAATAATGTTTATTATACATTTGGGATCACATCTCTAAAAAATTCCTATTTATATAAACCAAAATTGCAGGAACTACTGTGAAAGGGGCTGTCGATGATCTCGATCTTGTCATACAGACACTCGAGGAATGTGGATTTTCTCAAGATAGGTTTTACATCCATTGCGATGGCGCTCTGTTTGGGCTCATGATGCCCTTTGTCAAAAAGGTATACAGTACTGCTCTGAGTATTATTGAAAACAACTTTTGCTCTATATAAGGAGTTAGTAGTTGAAAAGGAGCTTGAGGTTTAGTCTAATATGCAAAAAGCATACTGTTTTTTCAAATCACAACTACTCCCTTGATATTCGCTATTATTCTACAAATTGTACTCTAAATGCTAACCTAACAACCCATCTGCATTTACCAACTTCAGGCCCCAAAAGTCTCGTTCAAGAAGCCCATCGGGAGTGTCAGCGTGTCGGGCCACAAGTTTGTTGGCTGCCCCATGCCATGTGGGGTCCAGCTCACGCGGCTCAATCACATCAATGCCCTCTCGAGCAACGTCGAGTATCTCGCCTCCCGAGATGCTACCATTATGGGCAGCCGCAATGGACATGCACCAATCTTCCTTTGGTACACTCTCAATCGTAAGGGCTACAAAGGCTTCCAGAAGGAGGTGCAGAAATGCCTTCGAAACGCGCACTACCTCAAAGACCGTCTCGTTCAAGCCGGGATTAGTGCCATGCTCAACGAGCTCAGCAGCACCGTAGTTTTCGAGCGGCCGCGTGACGAGGAGTTTGTTCGCCGCTGGCAGCTGGCGTGCGAGGGGAACATGGCCCACGTGGTGGTGATGCCTAGCGTGACAGTCGATAAATTGGATTATTTTTTGAAGGAGTTGATTGAGGGGCGTTCGGGTTGGTATAAGAATGGGAGTTGCGATCCGCCATGCATGGCGGCAGATATCGGGAGTGAGAACTGTTGTTGTGCTGTTCACAAGTGATGCGTCGTTTTTTTG